AAGACAAAACAAGAATGAATCAAATGACAGAGAGAGAAGCTGCTCAAGGAAAACACGCGGGTCTACTTTTTTCACCTGTCCTGTGAAGCTTCGATTTTATTTTTATTTTGTCTCATTACCCATTTGTTCTTGATGTCATCACACATTTGTCTTCTTTTTCTTTTTTTCTCCATCACCATAAGTCGAAATTTTCAGTTGTGCTTCTGTGGGATGTGTGATGGTATAGTAATTTAGTGTAAATATTTTTGTATATGTCCTTTTTTCCTCTCACCTGTTTATTACCTGTTTTCTATTTCTTGTTGGTCTTCATGGACATGAAATGATTTTTTTCTGGTGCGTCTTTCTTTCCTTGAGTCCCTCTTTCCTTCTCTTTCTCCCATTGTGTGGGAGTGGTTGTGTATTTTATTTCTTTCTGCCTTCACTTCTTCAAGCACTTATTTTCTGTTGGTAGTTTTGAGTATTTGTTCCACTCTGTTGTTTTCTCACCCTTTCTGCTGCATGTTTATTTATTCATTGTATTCATTCATTCCTCGTTTTCTGCTCATCTTGTGGTTTTGTTCTTTCTGGTTTGTTTTCCACACGGACAACTGTTCTTGTGAGACACATTGAGCTGACATGTGTGATTGTGCGCGCGGACGTGTTTGGTTGCTGGGAATATTTTTTGTGGTCTTGTTTATTGCTTTAGTGGGGGGGGGGGGGGGGGGGGTTTTGTTTTTTTTTTTAACCCCTTNGGGGGGGGGGGGGGGGGGGGGGGGGGTTATTGTTTCTTTTTTTCTCCATTCATGAGTGCTGAAAGAGAGCATCATTATATGCTTGCTTGATTGGTCATGCAGTTTTATTAGGGATTATTTATTGATTTGGTTGTCCTTGGGTTGTGACCTCATCATGTTTACTGTCTCTTTTTTATTTTCATGAAGTAATGAGATTATTATTTTTGGGAATAATGTTAAAAAAAAAGATCTCATAACCTGTGTTTTCGATTTTACCAAATTATAATGGGTGAAAATGAAAAACTTGTTACATTTTTGTTCAAGAAATGATCTGAAATAGATCAAGTGTTTAAAAATGCTGCAAAGTTTATTGAACGAAACACTTAAATTCTTTTTTTTGAAGATGGTTAAATTTTAAAGAAAAATTTGAACTTTTGATTGAAAATTTTGAAAAAATAATTTTTTTCCATTTTCAGTGCTTTTGGTTCATATTTGGGTTTCATAAGTTTTTATTCAAATAGTGTAGATTAAAAATCAAAATTTCGAAATAATTTTTTGAAATTCAAACTAAAGAAAAAAAACTTGAGAGATGCAAGTTTTCAATCATGTTGAGCAAATGTAAAAATATATCAGATTGAAGTACAATATTTATTCTTATTAATTTGTTTTTTACCATTTTCATCACAATATTCAATGAACTTAACATGAGGTTGTGTTTCTGTTCCCACTTCTTCCCAAGAAAATATAACGCGTCAGAAATTATAAAATCTCTCAATAAAATTATGGGGATATATTTTAAATTAGTGTTGCCTTCTTCCATTTATGAAAAAGAAGAGAAAACAAGATTCATCTCTCTAAAGAAGTGTCTGAAAGTTTTCACTCTAAAGGCATTTTATGCAACACCTGATTTTGTTTCATGAGCATTACATTTTTTTTTCACAGTGAGACCCCCATCAAGAGTGTCCCTAAGTTGAGTCTTGTTTTTGCATAGACTTACATTATATTATTTTTCATTGGTGTTTTATGGAAGAAATATTCTTCAGAATTCCATGAAAAAAAATTTGCCACTTCAATTTGACTCAGTGAATATATTTTCAAAACCCAATAAGAACATTTGGAACATTGAATAGTATACCACTGTACAGTTCATTGAAATGCTGCCATCTGTAAAAATGACATCCAAGTCACAAAAAGAGAAGGAAATCCTTCTGTGCTGCAGGTAATTTTTTCAATTAGCTGAATGGATGGGAAAGTGATGGGAAAAGTACCAAGGAATTTTTCTTTCATAGATCTTAGGGTTGGAAACATCTGTTTCTTGCAATTAAGCCTAATAAAAGTCAATTTTCCTAAAATGTATTGGCAATTTCATCATGCAATGTCCTCACGTTGTGTCAGTGTCTGTATGTTGGGCCTTTTTTATGATTTATGTTTATTCAAAAATAAATGTCCCTATGTCAAATTGTCCCCATGTCAAGGTGTCGGCATGTGGGGGCCTCACTATCTTTCATACATTTGTGATTCAAATGAAATCATGGTGGGGGACTTCAAGTTGGCAACATTTAGCTTGGAATAGAGTTTTGATATAGGTGGTACCCTTCAAATTTCAACCTCCTGCAATTTGCCCATGCTGCAATTCAATGGTTGAATTTTTTATTATTTTTTATTGAAAAAAAAAATGTCCCTGTGTCGAGGTGTCCGCATGTGGGGCTCGCACTGTATACTTGCCCCGAAGTTCCCACGGGTTCCTTTGGTTGTTGCATTTTGGTCACTGGGATTTTGCCCGCCGGGTTAGCAGGGGAGAGCCTGAGGACCAGGAGATGAAGGGAAGCGCAGGGAGGGGCGGGCGGGGGAGGGAGGAAGCCGCCACCCCCTCTTCAGAGGCGGAGTGGGAGGAGGAGGAGGAGGAGGAGGAGGAGGCGGCGGCGGAGGGATGTGGGAGGAGCGTATGCGGGTGGGGTCAGGGAAGAGGCGCGCGCATGCGTCCCACTCTGGGGGCTCAGTCGCCTACGCGCAGTTGATGCGGGCGGACGGGAATTATTTTCTCGCCTGCCTCATCAAAATATTGCTGTACTGAATTTATGAAGAAAAAGAAATTTTTGTCCCGGTGAATTTAATTCAATTAATTGTCTCTCTCTCTCGTTTAAATGCAATGTGTGTTTTTGGTGCTGTGTTATTCCGTGGATGTGTGGAAAATGAAGACAGTGCTGAAGACATATGCTAATCAGGCATCACAAACTCCACCGTTTATAAAGGATGAAAAAAAGTGGATTGTATAACATGGAATTTTTAAAATATACAGTACGTTACTTGAGAGAATTTTATGTAATTTTGCAGAAATTTAGCTTGAGTTGACTAGACAAATTGTACAAGAACAACTTAAACCAAAAACTCAGGAATAAAAAAGAAACCAACCCAAATGCTCCTTTTTGACACTCTGAGACAAATTTCCAGGCTACTTTTTTCAGAATTCAAATTCATGGCTTTTTTTTTAATTTGGCTGATGCAGAGTTGACAAGTAGGATTGATAATTTCTGAACATGCAGTATTTTTAAAGTTACAAGTATAGTTATTTGAAAGTGAAACTTTTTTCCTCAAATTGGATCTTTCATGAGTGCAAATTTAGCTTGTTTGCAGTTCATCTTCAATGTTGAAGTAATTGATGATTTTTCAGGATTGAAATGAATTCAACAGTTTCAGTACTATCATGGTAATTTTTGCATTGACCTTAGATTATTAAATTAGGTATGCTGAATGTGATTCAAGAGCAGAAAAAACAAAATTTCAAAATAATCATATTTTCATTGATTTTTATGAATATTAAACCTTGCGTGAATCGATTTTTTTGTTGGACTTTTGAGAGATTGAATGTACTATTTAAGAAAAAAAGAAAAAAATGTCCTGAGAAAATGCTTCAATATTAAATTGTAACAAATTTCTGAAGTTTTGATTTTGTTTTAATGCGGGGAAAAGTTTGCTTATCTCCAAAATGTTTTGTCATCATTCAAAGTGCACAAATCATAACTGTGAGTAAAAATTTGAAGTGTTTGTCAACTGTGTAAAAAATAGTTTTTTCTGTAATATTGAATTTAAGAAAAATAGAAACTGATAAATGCTGAATTTTGGTGGGCATCATTTTTTAATTTTTGTTTTAGTCTGAATATTTCATGAAAAACGTTTGTCTTTTGTGATTCTGGCTCTTAATGAAATTCACATTCAAATTAAGTATTAAATATTTTGAGGCAAATCGAGTGTTTTACAGTATTTACCAGCAATTCACTTAGGTCACAGTGTTGAAATAAATATTCTATTAAATACTGTTGTTTACAATAATTTGCCAGTCAAATGAAAATAAAATTGGGCAGTAAAATGCAAATTAGAAAAATCTGCATTTTTTCAGGCATAAGGATTTCAGATCTGCATATTATTCTGAATATTATCATCTGTCATTTATTTGTCCAATTTTTTCAGCCCTTGATTTTACGAATAGCCAAAAAAACCACACCTTTCCTGTGAATTTAGTTTTTTCTACAGAAATTCTGAGATTTCAACTTCTGGATCAATGAAATGATATTTTTGTGCATGAGAATATTTCAAAACTTCACCACAATAATTATAAGTGTACTGTAATTTATATGAGAGACTCGAGTTCAAAATAAACTTGATTCTCAAAAATTAAGTTAATCTGCCCCAATTAAATGGAACATCACCGGTTTATTTCATCGTTTCTTCATGGGGAAAAACCTATTTACAGTTATCTGCTGATGTTTTAAAATTGAATTAAGCTCTAGTTTTTTTTTCAAATTTCCAAAAAAAAATCCTGTCCAGACACGTGCTACACAACATTATCAAATTTCTATACCGTCATATTTCGAGTGTGCGACGTTTTACAGGGATTTCTCGTTGAATGCGTTTATTTTGCGGCACTAGCTTTTTTTTTTTTAAAACTCAATCTATAATTTGGAGGTGGTTGGCTTAATTCTTTTTGCCGTTTTCTCCGTCTTCCGCAGGGAAAGGGGTCGCATCCAGCCATCTTTATTTTGTTTAGTTTCCTTTTGCGCATGTGCGCGCACCTGAGATAACAACAGGAGGAAGCGCCAACCCCCCCATTATTTTTCACCCCCTGGGGGGCGGAACAAAAGGACCCCAAGAAAGAAAAAGAACGCCGTCTCAGCATCTCGACCAATCAGCAAGTGAAGCAAAACAAGAACCAGTGAAACACAGGCACGGAGAAAAAGGAAAGGGACATTCTTGAGCGGAGGAAAAGAGAGAGCAGCCGGTGTGTCCTTATGGATGCCCGCGCCGGCCTGCATTTGCGACCCGCCTCCTCCTCCTCCTCCACCCCCTCCTCCACGAGCGTCACTCGGCCCCGCCCACGCAGCTCCTCAGGTGAGAGAGACACGCGCGCCGGATCTCTATAGGCTCCACCCCCCGCGCGGAGAGGAAAGCATCAAATCAATGACTTTTCTTTTCCGCCTGCGCAGGATGCAGTCGCCGCCCGGCAGTGGCCACGCCTCTTCCGTGTCGTCGCCAGTGTCGTCTTCGTCCGACGATGACGCCAACAACAATGCGACAACGACGACAACATTGGGCGGCAGTGGTGGTGGTGGTGGCGGCGGCCACGTGAAGCGGCTGCGGTTGTCCAGAGTGGTGGACAAGCTTGCCCACCGCTTTCGCCAACAGTTGGCCAGAGGCATGGCGGGTGTGGCTGCCAGCCCCGCCTCTTCTCCTGCTACTGCTGCCCCCGCCTCCTCCTGCATCACTACTGCCAACACTCTCTTGGCGTCCATTCACAGCTCCAACAATAATCATCATCATCACGACCTTGGTGTGGATGGTGCAGAGGATGTCAGAGTCCAGGTACTGTTCTGTAGTGTAGAATACACAGGAAATGAAAATTGCGCACGACTCTCTTTACAGCAAATTAATGCTAGTTGACTCATCTCTACAAAGTTTTGGTGTCATACCAGTCTTATGACAAATTTTTCAGTGTAACAGAGGTCCCCCCTCCCAGTCAAAAATGGTTTTTTTAGTGAGAAGATTTTACTGTGCAAACAACCAACATATGTAGCTCAGTAAAGACAAAAATGTTTACATGTGCCCCTGAAAAAAAGCCTAACATAAAGGTGCTGTCCCAAAAACTTCAATCCATGGCTACCAACTTCCATAACTGTCCCTTGGATTCCTCACAAATGCACATTTCTTCAAAGCAGAGTCACAGCAAGATTAGTTTCTTTTCTGGCATATGTACAAAATGGTGAACAATGTGTAACCCAAAATAACTATGAGTTCACCCATTGTTGTCCTGTTCAACAAGACTAACATGTTGCTGTATTATTCTTGCACAGGTGAGTGGGTGTGTGGATGAGCCATCACCAATGGATGACAGTGGGATGGAGGCAGATCATGACCAGGACCATCATCATCATCAGCACCACCTACACCATGCACACCACACTGGATTCTTAGCAGTGACTGTGAGTGTGGCACCTGACAGTGGTGTCAGCAGTGGTGGTGGTGGTGGTGGACGCACCAACTGTGCTGATGTCTTCAGGTGAGCCAAGAAACCATGGCCTCTCCCTCCTTATTTGTTTGCCTCTCTCTTGGATAATTATTCTTCTTTCCCTGAACCTTTTGGTTTTGACACCAAATGCATATGTGAGGTTATTTTTGCTTCTCACAAGCTTTAGATAACCTTTGAGTGAAGTATTTTGATTTGTAAATGCACCTATTGGTCATTTTGGTATAAAATGTTGGTTATAGGATACAAAGAAGCTGTGTCTGATTTTTTCAATGACATGTATTCCTCAATTTTTCTTTATTGGGCACAGGTTTGACACTGCAGACAGGGAAAAGTACTTGGATGAGATCTCAGAGGAGGAGGAGGATGATGATGATGACAGGGATGAAGAAGATGATGAGGATGAAGTGTTTAGTCCTGGTGGCTCATCCCAGAGGTCACCATTGAGCAGTGCTGACTCTCCACTCTTGTCTGCAGAGTCCCCAGCACACAACATAAGCATCAGTCCCCTGAGACTCTCTGCCACCAACCATCATCACCAACAGGTGACTCTCTTTTCAAAGTACCAACTGTGGTACATGGTCTACTGATGAGTGTGTGGTACATTGGAATTTTTTTTTCATGACACAGGATGGAGGAAAACAAGCACCAGGTTTCCCAGTGTGCACTTGCCACAGGTGCAGAGCATTGGTGTCACATGTGGGATTGGACCAACACCACCTCTTGCCACCCAGACACCACCACCATCATCATAGACACCATCACCACCACCACAGAGTGACAGGGGCCTCAGGGACTACCATAACATCCACCACTGGTCCCCACAGACTTGGGTCCCATTCACCATCACCCAAGTCACCATCTTCACCTTACCTGTCTGCCCAGTACCTGTCTGAGTTGTACAGGCGCAGGAGTCACTCAGACTCTGACCTGCAGCAGTGGGGAGACCATCAGCAGCAGCAGTCACCCATTCAGCAGCAAGTGGTGGTGCCACAAGTACCATTGATTCAGCAGCACCAGCAGCCATCAGTGAGCAGCAGTACCAGTGCCACCAGGACCTCTTCTGTGGCTGGCAGAAGGCGCAGACACCCACCACTCAACCCCATTTTCATCCCCAAGAGTTCCAGTTCTGGCAATGTGGTTGCCTTTAGTAGTGGTGCTGGTGGTTCCTCTTGGTGAGTTATTCTTTGCAAGCTTTTCTTTTCTATTTTTCATTGGTGGGTGATTGTGACACAATAATTCATGGTCCTGTACCACAAAATTTGTAGGAAATAAATGTCATCCAAACAGTTCCACATTACCAGCCTTTTTTGCTATTTTGGATAATTTTGAAATATAAATATTTGAGAAACTGAGGCTATTAAGAAGATATTCTTTGCTCAAGTTAACAGATCTATTTGTCACATGTCATCCAGAAAACTCTTTGGTGATGAAACAAATAAACATCAGACACCTTTTGAATGGTGGGTTGATAGGACTGGTAATATTTCGTAAATGATCTGATTTATATATTTTTCACATAATGCTGTTAATATCATGATCACATGAACCAAAGATAAAAAAGATTGTAGGTCTGTGATTTAATTACTGTTTTGTATGTCCCTTTCCTCCCTCAGTTTCCCACTAACCCAGGACTCACCCTTGGACCTGAGCCTGAAGACAGGCTCAGCAACCAGTTTCACTGGTTCAGAGTCCTCAAGCTGCAGCTCATCAGCCATCACTAGTGACCAGTCCTCACACCAGGTGGCGCGACAGCAGCAGCAACACCACTCCTGTCAAATATGTGGCCAGCAATTCACTCATGCAGACCGCCTAACAAAACACCTGTCATCCCGCCACCAAAACAGCACCAAACCCCGCAAGGACCATGTGTAAGTGGCAGAGGGCGTGGCTTGCATATCTGGAATATGTGTGTGTAACATTCAAGTCTCCACCCCTTTTATAAGCAGGGACAAGGACAGAAGTGAAAGTGAAGGAGGAGGAGACCTGGTGTTGTCTGATAGTGGGGCATCTTCTCCTGCTGCTTCAACTACTAGTGCAGGTGGCAGCACTGGTAGTGGCAAGGCATACTTGTGTGACATCTGCAAGAGGTCATTCACACGGTCAGACATGTTGACGCGACACATGCGACTACATACTGGGGTGAAACCATACACTTGCCGGGCTTGTGGACAGGTTTGTAAAAGATGTTTGACAATTACAGTGAGACCCTCCACATGCAGACACCTTGACCTGCAGATAATTCAAGATAGGGACACTTATTTTCCCATAAAAAGTTTAATAAAAAAAAGGCCAAGCGTGAGGATGCAGACTCAACATAGGGACATTTTGTGAAAAAATTGCAAATACATTTCAGGCCAAATTTCAGGAAACAGATATTTCCAATTCTAAAATTGATGTCAGAAAAGTTCTTGGGAATTTCTCTCACCAATTTACCATCCATTCAGGTAATTAAAAAAATTACCTCCAACATAGAGGGACTTCCTTCTCTCTTTTTCACTTAAATGTTATTTTGACAGAGGATGCCAACATTTCCCAAAGGTATCAGTAATACATTCCCCAAATGTCCAAATTGTGTTGGAATATATTGATTGAATCAGTTTCAATTGGGAGACAATTTTTATTTTCATGGAATCATGGTGAGTATTTTGTACATGAAAAACTGATTGAAAATTATTTTAATGTAAGTCTAAGTGAAAATGAGACTCAACTGAGGGACACTCTTGATGCACCAATCATGTCCACATCTGGGGGTTTCACTGTACATGATTCACTTTGTACAGTCATATAATCCAACTTTTGCTCTCTTGGAAAATCTCTTTGGTTGAAAAACTGGATTGAAGAGCACATGCTCAATGTAAATGAACATTTGCCCTTCTATTCCAATTCTTGTCTGTATAAAGTGAATGTTATAATGAAAACATTTTTGGTTTCTGTATATGGGGACCAATTGTTGAATAATGCAAGCATTTGGTCATTGACAAACACATCCTTTTGGCTTGAGTCAGAACAATCCTTTGAATTCCAAGTCACTCAGAATCCAAAAGCCTTTTGTTTTGACCACCTTTTTTTCCTTTTTGTCTCCTCCCCTTTTCTACTACAGGTGTTCTCCAGGTCAGACCACTTGTCAACCCACCAAAGGACCCACACTGGAGAGAAGCCATACCGGTGTCCCCAGTGTCCCTATGCTGCTTGCAGAAGAGACATGATCACGCGACATCTGCGGACGCATGCGAGAAGCGACCAATCAGGGGGCGGGGACGGAGACGAGACTCCTCCCAGTCTGGGCGTCGCTGCTGCCACAAGCGCCGCCTCCTCCTCCTCGGCAGGCACGCCCCCTTTCTCGCCCACTGAAGCCCTCACTGCGTTGACTGTCACTTCTCCCACTGGCTTCCCCACCAGGGGGCCATGAAATGGCTGGAATTCAAAAACCAAAAAATATATGAAGGGCTTCAGACTACAGCGCCCTCTTTTCCAGACTGTGCGTCTCTCCAGAAATTGAAAAAGGGGGGCGTGTTCACAATTGGATATCACCCCCTTTTTTTTCTTGATGTTGGCTGTTCTTGTGAGGGTTGATGTGAAAAAAATAAAGAAACAGAATCTTGTGCAAGAAAGGAAGAGAGATAGAGAGGAAACCAGAGAGAGGGTGAGAGAGAGAGAAAGAGAGAAAGAAAGACAGACAGACGTTCCAGAAGCTCAGAATTGTGATTTGATAAGAAAAGAAAACTCTATGGTGTCCCCCAGAGTATATTTGAAACCTCTTCTCAATCTTTTTTGCTTTTGTTTTCCATCCCAGGTTGATTCATTTATTTTTTACAAACTGGGCTGTTGGACATCAATTCATTCCACCCAAAAAAGAAAGAGACACTGGTTATTTTAGTTCCATTCAGATTCAGCCAAAAAAAGAAGGTGCATTTAGAGGAAATTGATTCTTTGGTACAGGGTTCAGCACAAAAAAGAAAGATAAGAGATGTTATGTTCCTGTGATACCAGAGTGTGGGGAGGGGAAACAAAAAGGGGTGGGTCTTCTTTTTGAGTGGTTGTAAGTTTTGTTTTTGTTCCACTCAGGCCATGTTATGTTGTGTGTGTCTCTTAGAAAAACAAAAAAGCTCCTTGGTGCCATTGAAGCCATTTTTAGAAATTCAGAAAGGCGGTGGGGGGAAGAAGGGGGAGGAGCTGTGTTCAGGAGATGAAGGGTCCACCACAAAAACAAAAACAAAAACTATTTGGCCCATGGGTTTTTGATGTGTTTGTTGGATTTTTTTTGTGCCACAGAGGCTCGTGACCCCGCAGAAATTGTGTCATATCTCAAAATGCTTTTCTCATGTGTGGCATTCCTTCAAAACATTTTTTATTTCAATTTCCTATACTGTGTTTATCTTGCAAGCTATGTTTTTTTCTCTGGTTTGGAAACCCTGGCTCAATTTTCCCAGCAGTATTTGGAAACTCTGCCGAATTTCTTTGTGGTTTCCCCTTGTTTAGTTTTTCACATCTTTTTTTGTGATACCCTGTAGTTATTCCAGTGCCATTTACTTTTTGGCAGGGTTTTGCAGATTTTTTTTTAATTTAAAAAACCAAAATCTTTGAAATTACCTGTTTCTTTTCCTTCCTGGGCATTTGATGGTAGGTGTGACAAAAATTTGTGTTTTTTTTGTGTGTCTCAAGAACAAATAAATATGCTCATTGGCTCGATGGACGAAACAAAACAAAAAAGATGTTTTTTTCGGATCTCTCTTTGTGTACTGAGTGTGTGTTTAGGGAAATTGTAGCCGAGAAAAGAGAAATAAAAAAAATGAGATGAAATTTATTGAAGAAAAATTTGTGAAACATTATTTCCATTTCATTTGAAACCCCATTTTTTTTTGCTGGAGATTTTTCCCCCAGATTTTTAAATTCATAGTAGACGCAGAAACATTTTCAAATGCTTTTTCTTTTGTTCTTTTTTTTTGGGGAATTTCGGCAGAAATATTAATTTGCAATACAGAGGGATTTTCTATATGCGAAAAATTTCTGGAAGAGAAATGTTTCATAAAAATGTTCCTAGAGAATTTTGGGACCTTTTTTCAATCAGGAGTGAATCTATTGAAAAATGTGTCAATTCTCTGCCAAATTTTTCATTTCCTAAAAAGAAATAATACCTTGATGAGACAAAAAAACTGTCAGGAAAAAAATGAGATGAAATCTCCTCCGAAAACATTTAAAACTCAATTTTGAGAGTTTTTATGATTTCAAAAAGTGGTCCAACTAAAATAAGACTTTCCAAGCATAATTTTTGGCAAAAATTACAGACATTTAAATCATCCAAACATTCGATGAGATCAGGAGAAAAGGGAAAATTAGTTCAAGATTTAATTTTTCTTTCACCCTTGGGACGAAAAATAGCCAATTTCTTTTTTTAAATACAATGAAATATAATCCAAGAAAATCATCACCAGTTTAAATTTATTTTTGGAAGAACTTTTTCTAAATTTTTCAACGAGAAAATTCCACATTTCAATTTATTTTATTTTATTATAGGCGGGGACAAAATAAAGTTAAATTATTTCAACCACATTTTTTTGGTTCCAAACGGAAATTTTCCCGCAGCCAAAAAAATTATATATCCCTGATTCCTGAATATATTTTCTGCGAAAAAAATTATATTTTAAAACATATACGCGCGCTTATAACAATTGTCCAGCGGTTATTTATTCTATTTTTTTGCTTGCTGCAGCAAAAATAAATAAATCTCTGTATATCTGCGGAAAAATCCGTTATGGAATAAAAATTTGATGGATTCCTTGTCAATGACCAGGCATTTATTATTAACTTCCACCGCAGAGAAAAATTTGCGCAGCAACACCTGCAAAAAAAAAGTTGCATCCCCGCCAAAGTATCAAATATTCCGTGGTGGTGGTATTTAGAAATAAATCCCCTCGCTCTTCTTCTTCCGCATATATATAATGAAAAGGTGTGCCAATATTTTTTTGCGGGACGTGAACCTTTAGTAGTGGTCATCCATCAAATTAAAAACCTTTTTTCTCGGGGGGTTTTTGCGGGTCACACGGGTTCCCACGCTATTTTTTTGGCACACACATGATGATGAGGACACCCACATTTTAGTCTCAAAAATTTTTTTTTTTCGTGTGGCACCCCCTCAACGTTTTTGAGGGTGATGATGGAAGAACCCTTGAGATGATCCTTTTATGGGTACTTTTGAAGGGAGAAATAGACAATTCAGAAGCACTGGGATTTGTGCAAAATATTAAGTGTGTGTGTGTGTGTGTGAAAATTCATCTTTTCTGGTGGAGGACACTTGAAAAATATTCCTGAGAATTAATGCTCACATGGGAAATTTATTTAATATACAGTATGTTATCTACAATTTTTATAAAGACCACCTTTTATAGAACTTATGAAATTTGCTTTAGATGATACATTGTTCACAACTTCAAATTACAGTTTGTTTCATTCATTTTGCCTTATTTTCTCGCATTGCTCAGAAAAGGATGATTAATTTAATCCATTTCCTGATTTTTATACTGGTTGAAATATTTTTTTAAATATTCAAATTTGTTCATGTTAAGGTGATAAATGAATTATTTTCATCAACTGTATTATTTTTTTAATTCTGCCTTTAGTGCAGAACCTTTTTTTTACCCAGTATTTCAGTTTAAAAGACAGAAATAAAACTAGATCCTCACTATATTGAGAATTAGCTCAAATTACTTTCAATTCCCAGAATAATTTAATGTGGAGAAGAATATTTAAATTGGTAAGATTTTTTGGAAATGTTTGTGAAATTTATTCTGTTTACATTTCACATACAGTATACTTGAATTTTGATGTTTGTGACAAGGGTTTTCCCCATGTTTGCAGAAAATTTGGAAAAATGATTAATTTTATATGCAAAAATACTGAAAATATTCCAATGAACACTGAAGGTCATCTTTTATTGTTTTCAATTTTCTTTGAAATGGAAAAAGGAGAAATATCCTGATGACATTGAGTCTGTACATTGAAAAATGAATATTTTTTTATTAAAGAAAATTTCCTTTTTTAAATTTTTGGTTGTATTCCAAAAAAATCTCATGAGTTGAAATGAAAGGGTTCACTTATTTTTGAGTTTACTAAATTTTTCCCACAAGGCAAAAATAAAAATTTAATCAGGATTTTTCTCAACTTTAAAATCAAGAAGCACTGATGAAATAATCAACTCATTGACCATAAACACATGAATAAAAGTCTGGGCAATTTCTTCTCTTCTCACCAAAAATTTTCCCCACTTGTTCCAATCCTCCCACTGAAAAAAAAGAAACTTGTGAAATCTGGTGGGAAAATAGTCGCACAAAAGGACTCAATTTTTTATTCAATTTTCAATCCATTTTTTCTCAACTCTGCCATAGTAAAAAAAAAGGTGAAATGAGATAAAATGGGAGCGTGAGAAAGTGTGTTTTTTGAGGCTCCCAAAAACAAGAACAATTGGTGGAAAAAACGGAGATTTTTTTTTTCATTTCACTGGCACAAACGAAAGCCAACCTGATGCAAGGGAATTTAATACCTGGCCCAAAAATTCCCACACACTTTTTTTCTGGGCCATGGCTTAAAAAAGTTGGGTGTGGGGGGGGGGGGGGGGGGGGGGGGAAAAAAAAAAAAAAAAGNGGGGTGGGGGGGGGGGGGGGGGGGGGGGGGGGGGTTCGGAAAAAAAAGAAGAAAGAAACCCTGGGTAGCATAACTGTACAGGATAAAAAACAGTTGGTGTTTTGTTTGGGGACTCTCCTGGAAAAAAAAATAGAGCAGGAAAAAGGGGATTTCGAATTTCATTTTATTTTTTGGACGAAGAAGAACAAAAAAATTGTTGCTTGGCACCTTCAGTATCCGCTCTGATAAACACCCACAAAAAAAAATCTACCGGTTCAACATTTTTTCTTTCAGTGGGACACATGGTATAGTTCGCTTTTCATGGAACATATAAATCTGAAAAAAGTAATTCCTCATGTTAGCAAAATTAATCCACTTTTCCACATATTTGTGACACATTTTGAAACCATAAATTATCATTCACCTGTGGAATTTCTGTTCCCATTTTTATTTTACAAAGAATAAAATCTAGCCAAGACCTTTGAATTTATTGTGACACCTGCCCTTAAATGCATGAAATAAAGTTCAAGGTATCATGCAAGTTTTTTCATGTAAAATTCAGATTCAATTTGGAAAAATGGAGGGAGATTTTCATGAAAAAATGAAGAAAAATGCCTTGAAATGTGAAAGGGGAGAAAGTTTGATCTCATATTTTCACCTACATGTAGGCTATATTTTTGGAAAATGAAAATGTGGAATTTGATTGTGTATACTCTCCATCAAATGGAAATTGATCTGAGTGAATCCTAAACTTATTCAATAATAAGTGTATCAGATTCTTCCACAAATCTTCCAATAATGCTGGCTTTTGAAAATTGGAAACACATGTCAAAATATGTGTTCAATGCATTCAGGTTCACATTGAAGCATCATGGGAGTCTTTCTTGGAAAAATATCTTCAAAATCTCTTTGGGTATACTTGAATATGTATATCATTCATTTATTGTTCAATGGATTGACAGTCAAATATCCAAATTCCTCCTCATTTCCCACTGGCTACATTTCACCTCTTTATAGTTTTCAGTTACTGATCAATATTCAAAAAGATCAAAATTTTTGGAAGAAGTGAACATTTTTTGAAAACCAAAAATAACTTGCATCAAAGAGCCTAATTCTCTTGCAGTAAAAAAAAAAGCTGAAAAAAATGTCCCACGTATAATGATTTCAAAAATAATACACTGGTCCCCAACACACAAAATAGCCTTGTCCCTGATAAACCCAATATACCTTCAGCATCAGGTTTATTTATTTTTTTGGTTGCTTGGTCCAGTAAAAGGGGGGGGGGGGGATTTAGAAGGAAAAAGAGGGAATAAAATAAAAACCAGTGCACCTCTCACTTGAATACCTTCATACCCCTCCTCCCCCCCCCCCCACATCCCTATTTTCTGTCCCACGCATTTCCTATACAGTATAAAGAGGGGTAAAAAAACGCCAGGGGGGGGGGAAGGGGGGGAGGATTCATCCAGGTTTTAATTTTTTATACTTTTTGAAATGAAAATATCTCAGGAACAGTTATAGGTACAAAAAAGGTGGGACAAAAAGTGGATGCCAGAACTTTTTGTTCATTTTTTAAAGCATTTTTTTTTGCATGTGTTCTCTGAAATATACGTTACGTAGGTACATAAAAAAATCCGAAAATTTCTAAATATGAAATGATTTTCACCTGCTTCTGTGCACTTTCAAGACCTTGCTTAATTTTGGGGAAAATTACAGTATTTGAAGAAAGCTGAAGCTACTTGAAAATCACTTCCAAAATAATTCCTCTCCATAACAAATAAAAAAAAAGTTTCTTTTTCAAGTATACCCCAGAAATAACAGTGTAAAAAACCGTTATCAAAAACGAAACAGGTTTCTCCAATTTTTTTAACCATTTTATTCAAAAGTTTATTCCATGAAAATTTTGAGAATTAAACGTTCCGGAAATGAGAATGTTGTAAAATGCATTCTGTGAAATATTATGAGTTAGAATTTTTTTGAATAGTGAATAAAAATAAACTCACATCACAAAATGATTTCCATGTTTTAGAAAATGATTTAGAGTTGATTGTAATATGGAAATATCCATTCTTTCATTGAGAAAGCTGATTAGCAAATTATATATGCCATCTAATTATCTTCAATTCAAGATAAGTTTGGATACACAATTTTGACATACAAGCAAATAGATGTCATCATAAATGACAGCACTTTCTTTAAATTAGTCTCAAGTATAATTGTAAATTTTTAAATCTAAAACTACAAGAGACTCCAATTTCAAAATGTCAAAGGCACCATAATCCATTCTAACAGTATTGGAGTTATTGCAAAGATAGCCTCAAAGTTAGGCATGTTTCTCTAAATTAAAACCAGATTTTCCCTGTTTTGAAAGCACTGAATTAAAATAGATGGTTAAAAATCTCAATGAAAGAAATCAGTCATTATTCCCTTCTCATTCACAGGAACTTCTCACAAATTTATATTCTCTATTCTTGATCCAACTGTTCTTCTTTTTTAAAAAGCTGCAAGATAAACTGTTTTAATGCAATTTCCCTGTACTGTATGCAGGTGGTACCTTGCAATTCAACCTCCCACAATTCAACTGTCCTGCAATATGATGGTAAAATTTGCTGAACAGTCAACTCTCAATTTGACCTATTCTGTGCAATTTGACCCCTGGAGAACCATGAAGTGTCAAATGCAATGTAGAAAACATGCCATTTGATGTTGTCTTGCAATTCAACTGCTTTGCAATTCAACCCTAGTCCAGCAAAAAATTAGGGTCAAATTGTGAGGTACCACCTTTATTGTTTTCGTATGTATTTTATGCTCCTTCATATTGCACCCAGAACGCGCAAAAAACGTCATTCACTCAATTGAAAAGAAGGCAAGAGAAAAACAAATTTAAATTATGCATATATATAAGAGCAGATTTTATCAACAGCACCTGAAAACTCAAATTAACCAAAGGACTGAAATATCAGCTGTTTCAAAAATTCTTTTCAAACTGAGAGAGCAGTTGTGAAAACACTACTGCAAGTCTATTTCAAGTATTATTTTCATCCAAAAACAGAGGGAAATCATTCCAAATAAAAGTGAAGAGCTTCACTTGACTTCTTCCATAAAGAAATTTTGCTCACTCACAATGTCGATCACATTCATTCAAAAAATCAATTTAAACTAAAAATTTGATGTTTTGTACTCAGATCAAGAAACATCATACAATATATTCATAAGAAATACAAGGTATGTTGATAGGATGCATGAAAAATAATTTTCAAATATCCTTATTGTACATGTACATGTTAAATCCAAGTTACACTTGTATTTCGGTTTCTTATATTTTATTATCAGCCCGGAGTTTCAAAATTTGTTTGCATTTGCCTGTAGAACATATCAGTTGAACACAACCATTGAAAGTTGCTGAAGAATGAGTTTCAAGATTTCACAACACAAATATTGGCACCAATAAACTAAACAAAAGTCCACTGTATGTCACAAATAAAAAGGAATGACAGAAAACACTAAATGGATGGGAAAAAAACTGAAAATTATAAATGAAACACTTTCTTAGCTTATCAATTCCTATGAAAACTGTTGTTGCCAAGCTCCATCCCCTTTATTAAATTTGCAAAATCAAACCCTCATAACATCTTTTCTACCACTTCTTTGATCTTGAATTTCATGCACTCTCCATAAAATCCCATCAATTTCTTTCCAAATCCCTTCCATACCTGTACAGTATAAAACTTTCTTCATGCCCCTCCCTCTCCCACTTTTTAACGGATTCGCGCAAAAATAATGCCAATCACATGAGTAAAAAAAATAAATCAAAGATTTGGCGGAGGAAAAGAACAAGGAGATTGAATTACACAGGAAAAGAAAGAATAACGAGAAAACACCGTTTGTCCCAGATTTTCTGTCCCTTTTTTCCACGATTTTTCCCCCTCATCCCGCTTTTCCCAAAGTAACATTTGCAGTGATGAAAAAAATAATACAAGATCTCCTTTCAAAAAATTTTTTTCCCCTTTCATATTGCTGGGATTTGTAGGTGATCCCTTTCTTCCTGTGCCGCGGAATTTTTGCCGGGCACGCGTTTGTTGTGTTGCACTTATTGTGTGTAAGTTCTGGTACACCGTTGCAAAACTTGTCACATTAGTGTCAAATTACTTCTGCATTCGTGGCCAAGGAACACGAAGAGGGAAGACAAATAATAAAATGGAATACTCGTTCGTGTGGGGAGGGATTTTTTGAGGGATCAATTTCCATCCATGCGGTTATTAACGGTCAGCAGGAGCAGCAGCAGCAGATTTTATTAATTTTTTCTGTGGAAAATTCCATGGTTTTCATGTTTGAATGTCATGTCCTTTTCTGGTGTCAAATATTGAAAAAAAACTTGGAAGATTTATTTTAAATTTAGTTCCATTGATTTGTTTATGACATTCTGGACAACTTATGCCCAACAATTTGAATTTGGATATTGTTTTAACAATTTTCAAGTTTATATGTGGCTGGGATAAATATCAGGTAAAGTTTGAAATTAAAATTCAGAGGTTTAATAATGTGTGAGTGCATTGGGGTTTTTTTTTCAAGATATCTAATACAGGTGGTACCTCACAATTTGACCCTAATCCATTCCCAAACTAGGGTAAATTGCACATTAGTCAAATATGCAAGACACCATCAAACTGAAAATATAAGTACAAAAATACAAAAAAAAGTGAAAAAGCAGGTTGAATTGTGGGGCAAGGGTCAAATTTCAAGTCAACCTCCCTGCAAATTCAACCTTGGAATTGCACATGGGGCAAATTTCAGGATATTGAAATGTAAGGGTACCACCAGTATCAAACTCTATTCCAAGCCAAATGTTGCTCACTCAAGTTCCCCACCATGATTTCATTTGCATCACAAATTTATGAAGACAGTGAGACCCCCACATATGCAGACACCTTGACATGGGGACATTTATTTTTCAATAAAAAATCATAAAAAGGCCCAACATAGAGACACTGGCTTGACATGAGGACATTGCATGATGAAATTGCCAATACATTTTAGGAAAATTGACTTTCATTAGGCTTAATGGCAAGAAACAGATATTTCCAACCCTAAGATCTGTATGTAAGAAAAATCCTTTAGTACTTTTCCCATCGCTTTCCTATCCATTTCAGCAAATTTAAAAATTACCTGTAGCGCAGAATGACTTCCTTCTCTTTTTGTGACTTGGATGTTATTTTCACAGATGCCAACATTCCAATGAACTGTACACTGGTATTCTGTTCAATGCTCCAAGTGTTCTTATTGGGTTGAAAAGATATTCGCTGAATCAAAGATTCAAATCCAAGTGGCAAACTAAATTTGTTTTCATGGAATTCTGAAGAATATTTCTTCCATAAAATACCAATTAAAAATTATATAATGTAAGTCTAGGGGAAAACAAGACTTGACTTAGGGACAATTCATCTTAGGGACAATCTTGATGCACCAATTATGTCCGCATCTGGGGGTCTCACTGTAATTACAACAACTCTCAGCTATTGCAATAATTTGTCTCCACATTTCATTGATGTCAACTGATTCTATTTGCAAACCATTCAATTCATTGGTGAGGATTCAAAAGCTTTTCTTCAGGTAGGTAATAACTTAGGCGCACATTTTCTGGAGTTTGATATCAATGGGTATTTATTCTGTGTAATCATCATGCAGTAAAAAAGATTGTCACCTACAAGAGGAAAAAAAATGTGAGGGGAATTTGGTACAAGAATAACAATCCAAGTTGGTTGAGGAGTTAGTTGTTGACATATGGTGTAAAACATCACATGTGGGATTCTGGCAGAGGGATTCCATCAATCCACAAATATGGGATTGGCAACCTGGGTAAATGTACTCCATCAGTCCATTCTCTTTGGTTCAGTGCAGCCAAGAAACTGATAAACATGACATGGAGTACCTCACACTACTTTTTGGGCTGCCACTGGTTTGGTTCCAACTATATACACATGGATGGAAACAAACCACAATATGAGCCAACCTCATCATAGAGAACATCAGTGGTTTAAAATAGGTCTGACTTGGTTTAAAATGCATTAATCACAAGATTATTCAACCTTTTGAAGCAACTGCTGGTTTTCTGGCAGGCAAAAGAGGCTTAACCTTCCTCACAGGCACAGGTTTGGGAGAAGGAGTGTTTAGTCTAGGGATCAAACTCTTGGGTTCAGTGCTAATGGGTTTCTTGGGTGCCATTGTAGTCCTGGTACCCATTGTTGAAATCATTGGAGGGCGCTTGAGTTGCATCCTGGGCTTGACTCCAGTCTCTCCACCAACTGGTCTTGTAGAGGCCACCACTGCCTTGGGCTTCACTGGACTAGTGGCTGGTGTTCTTTTCAACCCTCTAGAAAAAAATGAAATTACATTCCATGCATCACCAACACCATTTTTCATGTATGTGTCACCCCAATGAAGGTCTTTGAGAAGAAACTGGGAGTGTCTTTCCAGCTTTTGGCAACCCTGAGGGCTTTGTGGTGACTTTGCCAACAGTCCTGGAAATGGTTGGCTGCTTGGCCAAGGGTGTTCTTGGAGAGCTGGCATTGGCAGGCTTTGCTAGGTGAGCAATGGACTTGCTCAAGCCAGGGTTGCCAACCTTTCCTTTGTTTCTGTTGAGAATAGTGTCCACAGACTTGGTGGCAGCAGAGATTCTTGGCAACTTTGAACTTGAGGAACATGCAGGAGGCTCTTTTTTAGGTGCATCCAAGATGGGTTCTTCAGCATCTGATTTGCTGCAAAAGCCCAGAGAAAAAAAAATTACTTCTGAGGTCAAAGGGGAGAGAGAAAAAACCACAAAAGATTGGCTCACTCTTCTTCCAGCAGACAGACTTTCTCAACCAACTCTTCCAGTTTATGCTCAACCATTTGGTGCACCTTCTCCAACTCAGGCTCATCAAGAACCACAGGTTTCATCACCAGAGAACCCACAGTGGTTGAGGAGGCAGTTCTGAGAGAACTTGACTTGTCCTTATCACTCACACTATCCTTGGGGTTGACAGAAAAGGGCTCAGTCCTCTCAGGCACTTTTGCAGCACTGGCAGCTGCTGGTGTTGGAGTGGCAAAATAGTCCAATACATCTGCTTCATCCTCTGAGGAGCTCATGGCTCCTAAAACACACATGGTGATTCCATATAGAGAGTGGGGTATACACAAGAGTGCAACTCACCAATGTCCAGAGACTGGTCACTAGAACTGTGCTGACCACTGTTGGGAGAGTCAGCAGCTCCCTTGCCGGAGCTGGAACTAGTGTCCAACTTGTACTCCACAGGCTCACCCAGGGACACCATGCCAGGGTCATCAATGGTCACCTGGCTGGCAGCCCTTTCCGGCACCTCATCAGAGGACTCCATCCTTTGCACACCTGACTTATGGTACAACTCCTCCTTGGCCTCTTCATGGTCAGACTTGAGAACCCCTGCAATCATGTGGACAGCAATAAAAAAGATATGACAAGGATTTTTAACACTCACATCAGAGGTAGTGGTTGGCATTGGACTAGGAGATATGGAGTCCCAGAGACATGGTGAAGCAGTCTGATGGTCTTGGTCTTGGTCTCCAGTGAGCAGCTTCAAGACAGACTCCTTCACCTCCTCATGTATGTCTTCTTGGGCAAGGTTTGGATGCATCTTGACACACTCAGAGTACTGCTCCACCAACAGGTCCTCTAGCACATCCCTGGGGATGTTCTCCTCAGACACCAGTCTCTTGAGAGTGCTGGCCAATTGGAGAATGGAGGACTGCTTCACCACTTCTTGCTTACCCGGCTCCTCATCAATGTCTAATGCTTCAGTAATGTAGGCTGTGAGTGGGAAAAAGTCCCCTGCTCCCTTGTCCACTTCACTCTGTGCCCTACATACATTCAGATATGGTCATTTCTATGGACCTTTTTTTTATAGATTCATCAATAGGATGGGGGTTTCACCTGTCATTTTGGTCCTGGTGGTCAATAGTGACAACTGAAGCCTTATCAGTCCTCACTTGACAACCAGAAGTGGAGTCTCCATGGTCTTGGATGAAGAACCTCTGCAATGTAAATGTTTAAACTGAACCCCAAAACAAGAAAATTCAGGGACACTCTCACCACTTCCTCATGGTGTTCCCTTGCAAAGGCCTTGACAGTCTCATACAACTGCTCATCAGATTCCAACAGTGTCTTCAGGTCCTTTGTGTCCACAGTGGTTGAGTCTTCTGTGGACTCTTCATCAAACTCTGACAGCAACAAAGGAAGTCCTGGGATATTGGATGGGATGAACATGGTTGATGTGGTGCTTGATTCCCAAGGTTCATCCTCATCCATGAGTTTCCCTGTGCTGAGGGAGAATTAATGCAGTTTGTTTAGTGACACCTATGGCTTCAGTTACAAATAATGTAGCTCCAAGTTTATAGAAACTGTTCCTGGGTGTCACACCATAAAACTTCTGGTTCAATGCCTGAAGACAGCATCAACTGTTGGAAGTCACAATTCGCAGCAATGATTTCAGAAATCTTCTTCAGTCTCCTTTCCCTCTCTTCTCTAGTTTCCCTCTTAATTTCCGCAATGCACTTCCTCAACCTACATAAAATATACATATTTTCGAACTGCCAATTGTTCAATTTTGAAATTCATGATGAAATAAACCCGCCTGTCTTCTGATTTATTGAGCGGGAGTTTCGATCCCGAGTCTGGAGTGTCCCCTACAAACATGCTCTTGAGGTAATTCATGACTCAGTTTCCAGCGTGACTTCACAGGTGTCGCTCCAAGGCGCACCGCAGCAGCCTTTTCTAATTAAAAGAAAAAAAAAGAAAGCGACCGACACACACCAAAGGAATAAAAGATGAATTTCGAAAAAGGGGGCTCTTTGGTCAGAAGACAACCATCACATTTCCAATATAACTGAAACAAAACAAAACCAATCACAGGTTCTGTGTGGAATTCCTCAGAAATTGCTTCCATTGTCTTCAGCACCTGTGAAAGGTTTTCATGCATGAAAAATTACTTTTTCACTCATATGCCTTCTGTTTCTTGAGCCATGGTCATGTGGGTGTCACCTGAATCAATAAAATTGGCACAGAATTGACTTATTATAGTTGCTGGATATACACTTATTTCATTCCAGAAAAACTCCATAAGTGACATCTGTTCGAAATTGCAAGAAACATTTTTCTGCAGTCTTATTGTAATAAATCTGAGAGGTTTCTGACCTTTGAAAATGATAATGAGCTTACGTGTGACTCATGATGCCTTGCCATGAATAACTCAGTATTAGAACTTCTTACATTTAAATAAATTTAAAACAGATTGAGTACAAAAACACATTCCACATACAATGAAATCAGCTGGTCTCCTGCATGGACAGAACTTGAAGCCTGAAATAAAGATATACAAATGGAAGAGAGGGTTTGGAAATTAGAAGGACTTTTGTATTTACTCATCCCATCATCCTCCCCCCAACCAATGAAGACCATGAGTGAGTTTCCACTTCCACCAGCATCAAAAGAATAAGCATAGAAAAAAAACAAACAAATAAAGAGAGAAATAAAAAAAGAAAACAAGCTGGTGGAGTGTTTTGGTGCAGGGTCCTCAGATGTGCCACCACACCAAATGGTAGTCCCTGAGTCCCATTCTAATTAAAAGAAAAAAAAAAGAAAGCGACCGACACACACCAAAGGAATAAAAGATGAATTTCGAAAAAGGGGGCTCTTTGGTCAGAAGACAACCATCACATTTCCAATATGGCTGAAACAAAACAAAACCAATCACAGGTTCTGTGTGGAATTCCTCAGAAATTGCTTCCATTGTCTTCAGCACCTGTGAAAGGTTTTCATGCATGAAAAATTACTTTTTCACTCATATGCCTTCTGTCTCTTGAGCCATGGTCATGTGGGTGTCACCTGAATCAATAAAATTGGCACAGAATTGACTCATCATAATTGCTGGATATACAATTATTTCATTCCAGAAAAACTCAATAAGTGACATCTGTTCGAAATTGCAAGAAACATTTTTCTGCAGTCTTATTGTAATAAATCTGAGAGGTTTCTGACCTTTGACAATGATAATGAGCTTAAGTGTGACTCATGATGCCTTGCCATGAATAACTCAGTATTAGAACTTCTTACATTTAAATAAATTTAAAACAGATTGAGTAAAAAAACACATTCCACATACAGTGAAATCAGCTGGTCTCCTGCATGGACAGAACTTGAAGCCTGAAATAAAGATATACAAATTGAAGAGAGGGTTTGGAAATTAGAAGGACTTTTGTATTTACTCATCCCATCATCCTCCCCCCAACCAATGAAGACCATGAGTGAGTTTCCACTTCCACCAGCATCGAAAGAATAAGCATAGAAAAAAAACAAACAAATAAAGAGAGAAATAAAAAAAGAAAACAAGCTGGTGGAGTGTTTTGGTGCAGGGTCCTCAGATGTGCCACCACACCAAATGGTAGTCCCTGAGTCCCCAACAATAAAAAGGCACTGATGGTGTTGGCCAACAGTAATTTTTCTTGTTTGTTGCTGTTTCTTTTCATCATTCCCAAGTGAGCAGACAAAATGAAGGTCAAGTGCACTTTGCTTCCCCCTGATATCACCTATGAGCATGACCACTTTTTCTCAATCTCTTTCTCTCTCTCTCTCTCCCTCCCTCTCCCAGATGTCCAAGGGCGCAACTGGCAGCATCACAGAGCGCTACCCATCAAAAGGCACCTTGCTGAGAATAAGGCCCAAAAGAAAAAGGAGAAAAGAAACCACTAAGTGCTTGGCCTTAAAATGTATGTACAAGTGCAGGAAGTGGGGGTATTTACAAAATAGCCACTTGCAACAGGTATTTTTTTTTATATCTTGTTTTGAGCTGGGGGGTAACCAATGCAAGGCACAGATGCCTTGCTTGTAATGACCTAAAAATAGACAAGGGAATGCTCAGACTTTCTTACCCCCCCCTCTCCCCAATCATTCCCCCCCCCCCCTCCACACACACATCACCAGGTGTGCCAGACTCCTGGAAAGTCTTTTCCATGTTTCAAGAAGAACTTGTTTGGTGAACATTTCAGGAAAAAGAATAAGAGGGGTTTCCTCCATCCAATTCAACAAGTGGGTGGAGCTTTGTGCCCAAGACCAGCAGTCCCCTTCCTCCCTTGTATGCATTCCAATAATGAACCACTGACTATCCACACAAAAGCTGTTTGATGATATTTAGAGAAACAATGCTTGGGAGAAACTTCCTTCTTTGGCTCCTTTTTTTCTTCTTTCTTTTTACATCCTCCTCCCATCAAGTGGTTGAACCCATTTCCATGGTAACTGATTTTTACATGAACAACAATATCTTCTGGGTATACAAAGGGAAGGAGCTTGACAATAATAAGACACTCCACCTTTTGTGTCATATTTTGGTCCATTCTTGTGCAAAGGGGAGGGTTTTTCATGAAGGCTCCACCCACTGGCCTCCCCAAGAACAACAACAATTGTCTTTTCTTTAAGCACCCTGAGCATCTGATGGTGGAATTTATACATGGAAGGAAAAATAAAAAAGAGTTTGAGAAAACAAAGAAAACAGCTCCCAAAAAGGGGGGATTGGTGAAAATGAAAAAAAATAATAATTGTAAGGCAGAGAGGGGGAGGAGCTAAAACACCTTTGCCCCACCCACCCACACACAACCCTTGATCCACTGATGATCTCTCGCACAACCCTTGCTTTCAGACAAACAAACAGAGATATAGATTTAACAAAAAAAAACAGTTGAAGATAAGATTGACAGTCTTGCTTTGCTGTCTTCTTTGCTTGCTCTTTCCTCCCTTATTGTCTTCACTGGAGTCTGGAGTCAGCTACTGAAGTGGCAGGAGCCTGGTAGTGTGCAGCCATGGCTGTCAAGTGTGGACTGGCTGCAAACCCTGCTGCATAACTCTGTGCTTGTTGGGACTGCAACAATTGAGCTGTCAACAGCATCCAAAAGGAGAAAGAAAAAAAGTGGAGAAAAAAACCCCCATTAGATCCTCTTTGCTGGGAACCATTGGTTGGCATGATTAAGTGCTCTTGCAAGCTACAATAAATGGGTGGTGTCACCTTTTTCAAGCCACCTGGAGACACTCTGATAGTCTGTGAATGAAAACAACTGACCAGCAGCCACAGCAGGATAGTCAGCAGCAGTGAGCCCATTTTGGTAAGGTGAGTGAGTGGTGAGTGCACCATTGACTGCTGACATCTGGTAGAACTGCTCAGGTTGGTACACATGCCCAGCATTGGCAGCTGCAAGCATGGCAGCAGGAGACACTAGTTGTGCAGCTGCAGCTGCTGCTGCTGCAGCTGCAGCCTGAGATGGAGCCTGCAGGTACTGCTGCTGGTGTCCTGTGGCTGCTGTCATGTAGGATGGTCCTTGAGTTGTGCCATACAAGGAGTACTGAGGCCTAGATGTTTGTTTTTTGTTTTGGTTTTTTTTGGAAAAAAAAGAAGCAAACCCAACAATCAAAACAATGAAACACCATGGGTTGGATCATCATCATCCAAAATGAAGTCTGCCTACTTATTCACACCATGGTTCATTCCCAACAATATATGAGGTACAACCGCCTTTTGGCTCTCTCAGAATGGCCACCAGAGTGTTATTCTCATATGGGCCTTTACCAATTGACCAAAAAAAATCTTGTAATCCTTCTTGGCAATATGGTGGCCATTCTGAGAAAAACCCACAGGCGCATGGGGCCAACAAAAATAAAATCATCATCCCACTTCAACTGGCCCCTGGTGCACATAACAGACAACAAAAAGGAAACCAACAAAAAAAAACTCCCAGGTTGGGTCAAACCCCAGCTGTGACCCAAATTAACCTGCAGCAACTGTCTCATTTCACACCCAAACCCTGGGGAGGAAACATTAACTTTGTTTTCTACTTTTTCAACAGTGTATATTGACCAGGTGGGTGGAAATTAACCAGGTCACCCCCTGAAAAAAAGGGGGGGGGGGGGGGGTTGCTGATGAATACTTTTTCACCACAAACATGTATTGGGGTGAAAGCCAACCCAAACCTTTTTCCCCCCCTCCTCCTTTTTCATGACATGCAAACCTTATTTTTCCACCCCTGAGTCCTGAAGTTAATCATCACCTCCAAATCCCCCCCCCCCAACCCCCAAAAATGCCTCATTTCCCACCTGATCAATAATCCTGTAATCAAGGCTCTGATTGCCCCAAGTGAGGACAGTGTATCAAACACTGAGTCCCCCATTTGTTGTTCTCCACCAGTTGACCTGCATTGGGTCAGTCTCTCTCACACACACACACAAGAAATATGAACCCAGGGGGAGAACACTACTTTCTCTTGCACACAAGCAGTGTTTGCTCTTATTTTTTCGGTGAAAATTTCCCAATGGGCATTCAGAAACTTCTTGTTTTCATATTTGTTGATTTAATTTTTGGAATGAGATTTTTTTCCAAGAAAGAACAATGCTTTCATTTGAAATGGAAAAAGTTTGATAAGTTAGGAACTTATGGTGAGGACTTGGTTCTGACCCCCAATGGACATGAAATAAAATAAAACCCTGCACATGTGTGTTGCACAGTGTGGACATGAAAAGGACCCACTGATTCCTGCAACCAGAGTTGGCAGCTTGTTGCCATGGCAGCCACCAGCATGGAAATAAGGCAGCCTTTTTTTTTTTATCCAATCCCCTCCCCAATCACATTGGGTGCCAGGCAAATGCAGCTTTCTTTATTTTTTTTATTTTTTTGGAAACAAAACCACACACACTCACACAATCACCACCACACACATGCACAACTTTGTATTTTTTCTCTTGAAAAGAGCCTCCCATGATTTTTTTTTAGATAGGAGGGGGTTTTGTTTTGGTTTTTTTAGGAACAACAAAATGAAGACACAACAAGAAGTGATAAGGTACCTTTTTTTTTGGTGGTGGTGATGGTGGTGGGGGTTCGCTTTTTTGTTCAACCACTACTTGGACATGAACTATACAGACTAAAGTGTCCATAGTTCAGGAGAAAATGAAGCCTAGTTTCTTTCTTTGTCTCATTTCCCCATTTTCTCTTTCTGCCTGTTTCTTGGTTTGGCCTTGACCCTCTTCAGGCAGCCCCCAGGGGACAACTGTGAAAATATTCACCCAGCATCAGCCATTTTCCTTTTTCACCCCTTATACCCTTCTACAACCCCTTCTTGCACAACAAGCACCACTGGTGACAACTGATAACAAGTCCACTGTTTTTTTTTATTTTTAAACAATGTAGTTCTTATAGATTATAATGCAATGTAAACATTTAAATTTGTTATGACCATTGCTAAAAATATCCAAGAAATCTTGCCTAAAAACACTAAGTGGATTACACAGAAATTACTCACAGAGCAAATATTTTGCACAGAAAATTTGCTCCACATGACAATAATATTTCTAAATACTTATGAAATATGCCAAGTTCTCAGTAAATCAATCCTTGCAATTTTTCAAAAGCAAGGTAAAAAAAAAACCTTGCATCATCCAAGTACTAAAAATTTCAACTTTACCATGGGGAATTTTTGTAATCCTGTTCCAGGGTTATTTTTTCATGTCTTCCATATTGTGCATATTCTTTCTCAGCAAAAATTCACACATTTCATGGTCAAAAGTTGGTAAACTATGACTGTTGATGTGTGTCAAGTAGAGACTTTTGCTTTAGGTATACATATTTTTACATGGAAATTTCAGGCATAAAAGTATTTCAAGCAATGCTATGACTTTGAATCCAGACAGAAACTGAAGTTCAACATGTGGCATTTAAATCAGGATTGACATCAGTTGTCCCAATGGCCAAGAAAACCCAACCAATCTTTCAAATGCTTCCACACCTCAAACCCCCCCCTCCCCAAACCCAAGAAATATATTTACCAGTTTTTAAACTTTGACATAGATTGCCAAAAGCGCGATTTTTGAGAATCCAGATGAAATAAAGGCAGAAAGTTGTAGTTTACTCACAGTGCAGCTGGATTGAAGAAGTGGATTGGTGGCCTGAGGGCAGCTGCAACATTTGCAAAGGGTGCAGCTGGGAAATAACCTTCAAGAAAACACAAACCACATCAAAAACCTCATGCCAAAAAAAAATATATATGCTGTCTGGCATGGGTTACATGTAACCATGGCAAATCTCAGATCCACAAGAACTTTTTTTTTTTTTAAATCTTGATTCATCTAAATTCTGCCCCAGAAAAAAAGAGGATCTATCCCCATGGAGAAAAGAGTCCAACCAGACAACAAATAGGGCCAAACAGTTGCCAAACAACAATTTAAAATAAATTATGCAGCAGTAAACCACACAGCAACTGTAGTCCAAAGAAGGTATGCCAAAGAACATGCTTTGAGGCATCATCACAAAACCATATCATAGACACATACCATTGTAGATGCTGTTGCCTCTTGGCTTGGCTCCCAGGAATGCCAGGTTCACATTGGCCTTCCTGCCATCAATGATTGGGTTTGGGTCCTTGCAGGCCCTCTCTGCACCCACCACATCCACCATGGTCACCTTCAAAGAGACAAACCAGTATCACTATAAGTGGCATTCATCTTTCCAGATTGGCATCCAGAATGTGGCCAAACCATGTTTCACCTTCCCCACATCATGACAGAGATGACAAGAAGAAAACATGGTGAAAACCCTGATGACAAGACTGGGAAACCTGAGGCTGGAATGAGTGGCTCAAGATGCAACACCTTCCTGAGCAAAAAAAAAATAATTGACAAGGACTTGTCAGAAAAGAAGCTTTCCCTTTTCCCAAGACAGTTTCCAGATACATTTTCCATCTCACAACACATCCTGGCAACAGAGTCCCCCCCTAAACACACATAGACAGAAATGATGAAAAGAGAAGTAAAAACAAAAACAAGCAGCTCAAGTGACATTTCCGCATTATTCCAGAGAGGAGGAAGGACTTTCCAGAGGCCTTCCCTCTGGTCTGGAACGCGGTGAATGATCCCCACAGTGTCGCCAGGAAAGTTGTTCTGAAATAGACTAGGGAAAACACGTGAGAGGCCATCTTGTTTTTCCTTCATCCTTGCTCATCTGCCAAGAAAGCATCCCAGGGTTTTTCCATGCAGTAAAATAAAACCAGGAAGTATTTCCAGCAGCTGTTGAATCTGCAAAAGTGCTTTCAGCATAGTCCCTATCAAAAGACCCTTTCTGGAAAGACACCTGGGCTCAATAAAAGCCTCCAGGTTTGTTTATCCACCTCATGAGAATTATCTTCATGGAATAAAGTTCCTTTTTTTTTGTTTCTGCTTCTACCTTTCAGGAATTAAAGGTAAACAACTGGTGGGAGGGGGGAAAAAGGCAGGAGGGATGAGAGAGAAGAACATCTTTCCCCACACAGAACCTCATTAGAACCATTCCCTGTCCCTCAACCAAGATCCCTTTTTAACCACAGGAGATGAAAGTCTTCAGGTAGTATCCTTGCTCTTGCAGGGACAACTTGAAAAAAAAAATTAATGGCAATAATGAGAAACGTATACACCTATCATTTTTCAAAAGAATCCTCATCACCTTTCAAATTTCTTAGTCGGAATCCTTGAAACCTCCTTCATGGGGACACTCTAACTTAATTTAGCTAACTTCCTTTCATGTTGATGCTTTTAATTCCATCATTAACTTGGGAAAATCCTCAGTCAATATTGAAATCTTAAAGAAAAAGTGGTTGTCAAATCAGAGAAAACTGAGTTCTAAATAAGCCAGTGACACAAAGTCATGAAAAATGTCATTTCAAGTTCATCATTCATTAGGAAACATATTTTTAAAAATATAGACAGCAATGGTCATTGTTTGCCCAAACAAGTGTGAAATTCTTGAAAATTGACTTGGAAAAGCATCAACATCAAAGAGGTTCAACTGAAAATTCATGATGAAAGTTGAGCAGACAAACTATGTATTTTTTATATGATTTTTGCTTGTTTGGGAAACTTCTGAATCAATAAATTAAATTTTATAGAAACAGTAAGACACCCATTCAAATTTTCATCATTGAATCATGGGTGTCAAATCAAAGAGAATTGAGTTTTAAGTTAATCAATGACACAAATACAGTTACAAAGCCATGAAAATATGCCTTATTAAGTCTTCTCACTTATATCATCCAAAGCAAAATAAACAGGAATGGAAACAATTTGCTAAAAAAATTTGAAATTCGTTTTGAAAATTTACCTGGAAAATCCACATCATGAGAAAGGGTTATATTGAAAGTTGACTTGAGCAAATATGCATTTTTCTGTGTTTGTATATATATGCAATTGATTTTTCTGTTTATTTTTTATTTTTATTCTGGAGGAATAATAAAATCTCCCAAAAGCCCCAGAAAGAGCAACAATACTCAGCAAGAAGACACAAGGAAGCTGTGGTACATGGGGGTGGTTTATTTTTACACCTCCACTTCTCCCCCCTGTGCCATCCCTCACCCAACTGTGGTTCAGTCAAGAAGACCAGGGACTCATCTCAGAAGACATGATTCAGGGCAAAAGGGCAAGATGAATGATTTCTACTCTGAAACATACTCTGGGTGATGGATTTCAGAGCCAGAACCCCCTTCATGATGGTGCTTAAGATGCCACATTTTCTTGGCTCCTTCTGCGCTTTTCCATTAGTAAAAGCAGTCAAAATTTCCAGATGAGCATCAAACTTCACCTTCATGGGAAAGTCCATTAAACAATTTATCAAATTATCCACAACAACAACAACAAAAAACTAAAATCATCATTGATTTCCACCAAAAGCAGTGTTTCTACAGGTTCAACAATCAATTGAAAAAAAGGAACTTTTCAAATAATTCAGGGCAAATTCAATTCCAAGTCAATGATATTCATGATGGACAGTCAGCTAGGAAAAATAATCTTAACCTCCCAGACTTTAATGCAACCACTTTCTCAAATACAGATGACCAACAGGACATTTAGACTTTAAAAAATTAATTTCAAAATTTGTGAAGGCTTTAATCATTAATTTTTTTACATCCCAGTATGAAAATTGGTTCAGAAACTGTATGTTCAGCTCTGCTATGTTCACTAATAACAGGAAACCCCAATTCATTACTTAAAAAAAAGGGGCAACCAATTCATATAAATTCTCAATTCTCTGGCAACCCAGAATCTGGACCCGCTTTTATTTGGAGCTCATTTGCTCACCAGGATCAGGACTCAATTTCCTTGGTGATATGGCAGCTGATTCCATCAGAAAGGTGTTGATGAGAAATTTGATCAAATAGAAAAAAAGAGAGGGACTGGGGGAAATAGAAAGAAACAAATTTTTTCTTTTCTTTTCATCCAGGCACAGGAAATGGGAAAGCAAGCCTGTGAGAAAATTTCCGCGCTGATAATTCTGTTTGCAGCCTCAGATTTTCCCACCTTTCCTTTGTCCAAGTCTCCCACTCTTTTTCTCCTCTGCTTTTTTGTACCCCAACAGGAAATTTTCACAGTGACATGCACAAGCCAATTTAGACTCCAAAAGGGATGGCAAAAAAGTTTTCCTTGGAACACAGTTAAACACACACACACACACTTATACAGACCAGAAAAAAAGAGATAAGGAATAGAAAGAGGCATGTTTCCAACAGGTGCAAAAAGTCCCAAAGTGAGGAAAGTGATAAAAACAAAGGACTTGCATACACACAATTATGAACCACACCTGTGTGAATGGCAGTCAAACAGAAGTCATAAAAAATAAAGAAAAAATGGTGATGATACTTTAGTATACAGTGTGTGTCTTTTTATTTGCTTTCTTTCAGATAGTTTTAACCTTGTGCAACTGCTGATATTGCCAAAAGAAGGAAGGGATCCAGCATGTTGCAAAGCCAGGACAGAGTCTGCACAGTCAGCAATTTTTTCTTTTCCCCCTCCTCACCCTCCAACAATTGCTTCTTATCACCAAGTTTGATTCCTAGCTTACTTGACAAAGATATACACAGACAGAGGAATGGAATTGAATGAAAAAAGAGAATGACTTATGATGACACACTCATCATCCCAGAACAAAAAGGCATGTGTTAACAGAGTTCTCCAACTGACCAAAGAGTTGTGCATAAAAAGAATTTGAGTAACAAAATGCTTCTTTCAAAAATGAATGAATTTCAGAAAGTTTTTACTTGAGCTTTTTTAGATTTTTTCCAAAAGATGGAAAAAGAAAAGGCTTTGTTAAATTAATTTTTAAAAATTAGATATTGCAAAGATTCCATGAATTGCATTCTTAGGCAAACATTCCAGCCTTCTCTGGATGCAACTTTAATAAATCACATCAATATTTTATTTTTATATGAGAGACCGATTTTTTTTCTTTTGCATTGTGACATTTTGAGTGATGGAATATTTTTGCTTGCAATAATATACACAAATTCAAACCTGAGATTATCACTTGTGAAATTATTCACCAAAGACATTACAGTAGTGGATAATAATTTTCAATGGGACTTTGTATGAGTCATTTTTCTCATACTTCAAACCCTTGAGAGAAAGTACAGTGATTGACACATCTCTTTTTGTTGAAAAATAAAACCCTAGGCCTTTGAAAGAATTAAATTCCCTACAACAGCATCCTTCAAAATATACTTTTATGAAGAAAAAAAAATGTTTTGCAAGCAGGAAAAAGAATGATAGAAAATTGCCAAATTATGTACTCACAAAGCCATAGCCCCTGCTTTTGCCATTCTGCCTGTCAGTGATGACAACTGCCTCCTCAATCTCCCCAAAGGCCTCAAAGTGCTCCCTGAGACTCTTGTCTGATGTGTGATAAGGCAGTCCACCCACAAAGATCTTGGTGAACCTACAGCAGCATCATGAAAAATCACAAAATTAATTTTAAAAGAAATGATGGTTTGAGTTGGTGTGTCCTCACTTGGTGTCCTTTTGTGTGGTGGCAGCAGCAGCAGCAGCAGCTGCTGCTGCTGCTGCAGCAATCTGCTGAGCATTAGCTGCAGCAGCTGCAAAGTCCAGCACAGGCACTCCTGCAGCAGCAGCAGCAGCAGCTGCTGCTGCTGCAGAAAATGGGAACACTGCTGAAGTACCACCACCTCCTCCTCCACCACTGCCTCCAGCCTGAGAGGATGGTACCATGTTAGAGGCACCTCCAGAGGACACTGAGGTCTGGCCTTGGCCCTGGGCTCCAGCAGCTGGCACAAGCATGGCAGCTGCAACAAGGTCTGGTTGCTGGTGCTGAACTGCTTGCTGTTGTTGTTGTTGTTGCTGTTGCTGGGCTTGGGTTTTGGGTGGTACTGCTGTAATGGCGTCCAAGCAGGAGGAAAGGCGGCGCTTGCGTGGTCCAACCGGCGTCGTGGCGGCTACTGGCGGCGAGGCGCTACTTTGAAAAATAAAATAAATCAATAAAATTAAATTCATGTCTTTTATGTAAATGAAGCACTTCACTTGATTTTTGTACTGGCTCCATCTGGTGGAGCATTTAAGCAATACATATGCAAGGGTCAGCATGGCACAGATATACTACAGTAATACCGTGAGACTCCAAGATGTGGACAAAATCGGTCCATCAAGAGTGTCCTGATGTTGGAATGCCCTTAAGTCAAGCCTCAGTTTCCCTTAGACTTACTGCTAATGTATTTAATTTCTTCTCTTTTTGGTCAAAATTTAGAAATAAGTCCTCAAGAAATTCAATAAAAACTGCTTCCCTGAACTTCAAGTTGTAGAAAACACAAGCAAAGAAAAAAAAAACCACTTAGAATCTGATCTTTTGGTTTCAAAAGCAGATCAAAAAGCAAATAAAAAATCTCAAGTCTTGCTAGAATTTTCACAGATGATGAAGAAATTAAAAAAAGAAGCATACCATCAGCAGTCCAAAAAGGTTGGAGAACAGTACTGGTAAAAGAAGCCGAACATTTCAAGGGAGCGTTTTATTTTCAATTTGAGTCCGCCGATAAAATTCCTTGCACCGAATAAAAACGGTTACTCATCTTGTTTTTGAGTTAGTGTAAGAAGACGATTAGAACAGGATCGACAAAAAGCATAAATTTTAGAAATAAAAATATTTTTTGCTTCAGAATCTGCCTCGAAGAAAACAGCGATTCATCTTTTGCGAAAACTTTCTTAGGGACACTTTTTGCAATAAACCCTAGGCGTATAGAATCCCCTGGGAAGAAAAAATAAAAAATGAAGAAAGGATTGATGCCTGCTGAAAGAAGGAGCATATTCTGAATCGGATTGTTATGCATGGGTCTCTGCGACTGTGGCGCCGCGTTTTCCGAGATCACGTGACCCGAGCATGCTACACACGCTCGGGCACGTTGACGACAACCGTACACGGGTACGGCGTGGTACGCACCCGGTATGTCGTAACACCGACTACCGGGTCGGAGAACGAGGAAAGGAGGAGGAGGGTCGGAAGAGCGTGGCGTAGGCTCCGAAGCCCACAGAAGAATTCATGCTGCGATNTGTCGTAACACCGACTACCGGGTCGGAGAACGAGGAAAGGAGGAGGAGGGTCGGAAGAGCGTGGCGTGGGCTCCGAAGCCCACAGAAGAATTCATGCTGCGATTCAGAGTGGACCTCTGTTGTGTTGCTGTCTGTTTTGTCTGAGTTACTGTTTGTCCTGAAATCTGTCCAAATCTTTTGAATCTGAAGTGTGTTGTGATCATATATTAAAGAGAGCAAACTTCTTGGGACTCCCTTCTGGAGGATCCGGCCGGTAAAGGCTGAATCTGCTTTTTATTTCCATTCAAACCCCTTGTCGATTTCCACCCGACATCTTATATGTAAATGAAGCACTTCACTTGATTTTTGTACTGGCTCCATCTGGTGGAGCATTTAAGCAATACATATTTAAGGGTCAGCATGGCGCAGATACATAATACAGTAACACCACAAGACCCCAAGATGTGGACAAAATCGGTCCATCAAGAGTGTCCTGATGTTGGAATGCCCTTAAGTCAAGCCTCAGTTTCCCTTAGACTTACTGCTAATGTATTTCATTTCTTCTCTTTTTGGTCAAAATTTAGAAATAAGTCCTCAAGAAATTCAATAAAAACTGCTTCCCTGAACTTCAAGTTGTAGAAAACACAAGCAAAGAAAAAAAACCACTTAGAATCTGATCTTTTGGTTTCAAAAGCAGATCAAAAAGCAAATAAAAAATCTCAAGTCTTGCTAGAATTTTCACAGATGATGAAGAAATTAAAAAAAGAAGCATACCATCAGCTTGTTTTTGATTATGAATTAGTGTTAATTTTTCAGGAATTTGTTTCCAATTTTTGTGGATATAATTGTAGCTTAACATGTTCAAAATATATACAAAAATAAAAAACAAACTGTTTCAGTTTCTGGGGAAAATTTCAGAAAAGTGTCCCTATATAACTTGAGCCAATGTCCAAATATTGAGCCTGATTTTTTTTTGGCTTTCATGTGTCCCTAAGTCAAATTGTCCGCATGTTGGAGTGTCCACAAATCAGGGTCTCACTGTGATGTTCTTCATGCAAAACACAATTTCCATCCATGTTTAATTGCGAAAATAACTGTGCTTCTGTCCAAATAATAAAAGACTTGGAAATTGTGAGCATTAAATGCTTGAATTGGTTTTGCCAAGAAAATTATGCAAAAATATTTCAATTAGATAATGAATGCATGCCATTGATGAACAGATAATGGTTCTCAAGCATTTTTTTGCCTAGGTGATGTAAAGTTTTTTTTGTACTTCTTTTTCAGTTGTTCATGTATTTTTTTCTGAAAATGTTAAAAAATTGAAGCCTTATTTCTTTAATCAATCTTTGTCACAGTAAGAAATCCATTTTTGGCGTCATTTCATCGGAAATAAAGAAAAATTTGAAGTTTTTGAGCCAATTCCTTTTCAATTGAGGACCAAGTGCAAATTACAATTTTCTCTAATTTTTTTGTAATATTCAATGATTAACCAAACATACCTGGAAAATGAAAAAAATTGAAGAAAACATAGACTTACATGTAAAGCAAACATATTTGACTATGATCCAATCTGATGCCTTTGAGGGTATAAAATCAAATTGATTCAAGCCAAGAAAATAGCTTTTGGGATGCATGATCAAATCATGAATCCTTGTGTCATTTTTTAAAAATTGCTAACCAAGATGTGCCTGTGTTGAACAAATCAGAGAAGAAACAAGAACACAAAGCTTCATTCCTAAGAGCAGATCCAAAGATTCAAGATCAAACCATTCATACTTCTGGCACAGGTTGCAAATTTGAACCAGGCTATGGTACTACTGTATTTATTTGATTACATTGTATGTGGTTCCATCAGATGTGAAGTATAATGACAATTAAAGAATGGCAGTATTATCCATTCATTCTCAATAAAAATATGACATGTCGCCTGTTAACATGTGCACAGTCATTTTTCACAAAGTATGTTGAAGAGTTTTAATGGCTAAATATCCATTATTCACAGGTTATTTGTTTCTTCAAATGTGAAACAAAACGCAAAATTGCACAAATCTGTGGTTTGATTGTGATTCAATCTGCTGAATTGAAGGGTAAACTAAGTGTGAGCATAGTTCAAAATTGTATTCATATTTCATGTATCAGACATTCAATGGAATTTCATCAAAGGGGGCACAGTTTTTGAAAATGCAGCTGTTTCATATCTTGAGTAATTCAATTTTGTTGTAATACATGCATGGAGGCAAAGTATGTCACATCATATTTTCCTAAAAAAAAATAGTGTCAGCTGCTGTAGATGAAACAACATCACCTGATATACAATAAACATGAAAACTATGCATGGAAAATTAAAGATAATATATGGACCAGAACCAATTTTGAAAGATGATAACATTTTAAAATGCATAATTTTCATGTAATCAGCATAAAAGAAAATCTCCATGGAATCCACATCACTTGATACATCTGCACATTAGTCTAATCAAGGTTGATATTTGGGGCCACAAAACCAATCAACCTTGGAAAATAAGTATGGTTCATGGCCTCCTTTTCTCAAGACAATGTTCCCAAGTTGAAAGTAAAATGCGCATTATTCATAGTTTATAGTGATTGATGAAAATTCTGGGATTTATAACCAAATTCTCATCTTCCTGACCAGCTTTACATGGCCCACTCACTGCAATTATTTTGTAACACGGTTGAACCTTCCTATGAGTCAAATACCTCCCCAAGTTAATATTTTTTCAAGTCCCTGTCTGAATTCCCTTAGAATCAATGCATTAAAAACCTCCCTAACTCACAAGTGTTTTTCTCTGAAACCTCTGTAAGGCAAATTTTCTGTGGCCTTTTGATAATTATTCATCACTTGGAATATTAAAGCGAAAGTCAATAAAACAAATGCTATGATGCATCTTGAAAGGAATTGAAAGACTATCAACAAAAATGAACCCCTGCTTCCAAGGTCAGCAAGGTTTAAACTAACCAAGGAACAAGTTTAGTCCCAGAATATCCTAATTTACAATTTCAAACATTTTTTTTTAAATTTCTCCATGCAACAAAAGTATCTGTTTGCTTTGCTGGAAACCTCCAAAAAAAAAATCAAAACCTCCCCAATTTGAATGGTTTTCCTGGTCCCTATTATACTTGGAATTATATATATTCCAGAATTATAATCTTTTCGATTTCTTGTAAAGAAATCATACTTGGAGAGGTTCAACTGGTTTTGGAAAAAGGGGGAGGGGCCTTTTTGCAGCCTGATGAAGAGCAGGTCCTGCTGCTCCTCCTCCATCCCTCCCTCCCTCCCTCTCCCCATTTTTCAGAGATGAATAAGAAAAAAAAGAAGTGTGTTATTGTTTGTGGGAGGAGACTGACCTGTCCAGGGCGGGAATGTTGGCGGCAGTGGGCGGGCGACCGTGCGGCCCTATGTTGTCATGCGGCGCAAGCTCAGCACCCCAGCACCACCACCAAGAAAGGCAAGAAGAAAATCACCGCCTTCACCTCCACCACACCACTGATGACACCACTCGCTGGTCTCAGCAGGCTTCTTCAATATTTATCCTGATGCAGAAAACCCAGATGCTGCTGCTGATGATGATGATGATGAGGCTCCTCCTCCTCCTGGCTGCTGTTGGTGGTGGTTTCTCTCCTGTCCAGTCTTGGACACGCCCCCTTTTTCTTTTCTAATTCTTCACCCCCTCCTTGTCCTTGGGGTCACTTATTGAGTGGTCACAAAACACTGGTGTTGCTTGTTTTTTTTGTTGTTGTTGCTGTGACTGTGCTTATCCACCGCGGACACGCTCAACACCCGCACACATGTATAATGAGCAGGACTTGGAAATTAGCTCCTCCTCTTTTCTTGTCCGTCGCGGACACCAACAAAAAATCACAACAAAAGATTGGAGGAGAAGAGGGAGGGGGAGCAACAAAACACAAAGTGGAGAAGTAAAACTTGGCTTGCTGTTTTTTTTACAGCACAGTTGTTTTTCCCCCTTTCTGCAGAAAAAAATAGAAAACAAGAACCTGATCAATATTTGCATCAAGAAAAAAAATCAGAGGCCAGTAATAACTCAAGTGTCAACTCTCACAGAAGTATTGTGTCCAATACTGTATGCTTGTGTGAAGTTGTACTTGGACCCTTTTTCAATGACACATCTTTTTTTATTTCTTGGTTGGAAACAGTATATGTGCATGAACAGCTCAAAACACAAAAGAACACAGCTTTAAAAAAAAAAAATGTATACTTCCAAGAAAATCTCCATAAAATTTAGAAGTTAGCATTGAATTATTCATAAGGAATTATCATTGTTTTTGCAAAAAAAAAGCAAACATCACCCATAAGCATGACTTATTGTTAGCCAGCAGGTGGGTTGAATACACTGGTGTGGAGTTGCACCTGGACCCTTTGTCAGACAAACCAAATGCTTCTTAAAAAAAAAAAGCTTTCATTAACTCGATGAAGCAGAATAAACTGGGATGGTAACACCCTGAAAATTCCTTGCCAAAACTGCAATTTGGCATCATGGAAACATTCCACAAAACAATTATGTGCTGTTTTTGTTTCAGTCAAAAAGAGGAATACTGTATAAAAACTGAATTTTCTGATACTTTGTTGTACCTGGACCCTCTTCAAGTGTCAACTGTTCCAGTCACTACCTTTTTTTTAACGTAGTTGTTATTTTATATCCTATTATTTTGTCGTGTCCATGTAAAAGTGTACGGAAACTTAGAGATCTTTAGTAATGAAGGTTTTGACCAACTAATTTGTTTTAGTATAAAAATCACACTAATTCATCTCAAGTGATTCTAAGCAACAAAACAATTCTAAACCAATAATCCAAAATATCAATGAATTGTTCAGTAAACTTACAGTAGAAAAAGTTGAATTTCAATTATGCAGTACTCAAAAAATAAAAACCCTCTACAACCTATTTCATCTATTTGACAAAAGGTTTGCATTTAAATTCCAATACAGGCAAATAAAATATCACAAGTTTATTTTTCACACACTCTTGAATCCTTGAAAAAGTGGTGCTACAAAAATGGCAATTTGAAGTTACACTTACTCCTCTCAGATGATTCCAAACCAATCACCAGCAGCAATCAATTGTTCAGGAAACACATGGTATCAAAGTGAGTTTCAATTTCGCAATCCCCCTCAAGAAATTTCCCAATGCTCAGTTGGGCTTGCGATCAGTTATCCCTGGCGCTGAGTTGTGCAGTTCCTCCCAAATCTCTCTCTCTCTATCTTTCAGTCTTCCTTTCTGTCCCCCCTTTCTTCACGGTTTTTATGGTGTGACGTGGTTGGACGCGTATACCTTACGGTTGTTAGATGGTTGAGGGGGGGGGGGGGTGGAGCACACGGAATTCCGCACATGTTTTCTGCTAAGGAGGAGGGGAGGGAAAAACGCAACAAAAGTCCCCCTGGTGGACACATGTGGGACTGAGACACACACACCCACACACTCACTCAGTCATCACCCCAGGTTGGAGAGGTGACTAAATTTAGATTGGTGCCTGTATCTCACCCCCCCTACCAGTTTTTACTACTGTACCACCACCACCACAACAACTGTCACTAGTGGTAGTGGTGGTGCTGGTATAGGGGGGGGGGGGGGGGGGAATGTGACACAGCTGGGGGGGTTCTTTTTGACACATGTGGCACACCTGGGGGGCTTCCTGCAAGTGCTTCTGTCTCCAAACACACACACACACACAAACACAAGAATATTTTTTGCTATACTTGAAACTGTTTGGAATCAAGTATGAGAAGCTACAAAAACCTCACTTCAAGACCATCAGCTATTGTTAGAAACATTCATAACAGAAACATTCATTACTCAGTTAGCAAGTTATTGGCAAAACCATTGTGCACAACATTATGAGAGAGAGAGAGAGAGAGAGAGAGTCCACATGCTTAAGACAGAATGTGATTCAATCTTACAATAATCTTGTTGCAACTCATCAGAATATCTTTCAAGGGTTTTCCAGTATAACATCAAATTTATTTGTGCCTAAATACAGCATACAAACTGCTTTTTTGCCAGAATGTTTGTATTTTTATTTATTTTATTTCATGTGATTCCACTGAAGTTGAAGAAAGTTTCACCAAAGCTAAGAAATGATTCTGTTCTTTCATGAAGTTTTTCAAGAGTGTAACACAGTGAACCATTCCTGCTTGAAGTATTTTAGCATGGCAACACTTTACCTCAGATTATGTAAATCGAATGTTAAATCATAAATTTGAGTTTCTTTAATCATAATCATAAATTCGGAGTTTGAAATGATGAAACAATCTGAAATTTTCTTGAAGTTTTCCAAGAATGCATGGCTTACACCAATTTTGTACAAAGGAAGTAATATTTCAAGACATGTGAAAGTAACTTAGATACTTGGGTATTCATCAAGAACAATGCTTGTTATTTTTAGAATTCATTGGTGAAGTTTGGCTTTTTTGTTTGCAAAATTATGTTATATTGTGCCTTTCATCAGGGATAACTTTAAATGTTTCCCTACAGAGGCTTTTATGATGAAACATTGAAGAGGTCCTCTTGAAAATTGGCACTTTTCATACTTATCCTATTCAGTTATTATCAAGGCTACTCAGTTGCAAGTTATTGGCAAAATCATTGTGCACAACATTATGAGAGAGAGAGAGTGTCCACATGAATCAGACAGAATGTGATTCAATCTTACAATAATCTTGTTGCAACTCATCAGAATATCTTTCAATGGTTTTCCAGTGTAACATTAAATTTATTTGTCCCTAAATACAGTATATCTGCTTTTTTGTCAGAAATGTTTGTATTTTTATTTATTTTTAAGGATGCCATGCTCATTTTTCTTTTACAAATTTCATAGAATAAATATCCACCCTAAATAAAGTACCTAAATACATTATTTGGACATAAATACAGTATAATTGCTTTTTTTTGTTAGAATGGTTGTATTATTATCTATTATATATTATTATTTGATTCAAGAAACTGAAATTTCCGATTTATCATCCAATTTACACCATCTGAGGTGAAGTGTTGCCATGCTCCAGTATTTCAAGCGGGCATGGTTCACTGTATTACACCATGCTCCAAGTTTAATTTTTTACAAAACTCATAGACTAAATATCCACCCTAAATACAATTACTAAATATACAGTATATCAGCTTTTTTTGTAAGAACGGTTGCATTATTATTTATTTTAAAGGATATCATACTCAATTTTATTTTACAAAACTCATAGAATAAATATCCACCCTAAATACAGTACCTAAATACAGTATTTGTGCCTAAGTACAGTATATCAACTTTTTGTCAGAATGTTTGTAATATTATTTATTTTTAAGGATACTCAACTTTTTTTAAAACAATTCTCATGGAATAAATATCCACCAAATAAAATTCAGTTTCATCTCTTAAGTCAGAATTCAGAGCATTACAAAGTCACCCCCTCCCCAATATCTTTTGTTTAAAAAAAAAGGAAACCAAGCGAAGGAGCAAATTAATTTCGCTCCAAGGGGAATCGAATCATTCCTCTTTCTTGACTCCAGCGTTGGTTTTTTTTTCTTTCTTTCTGACTCTCACTTGACTGGCGCGATTTTTCCACCAACCCTGCGCACGAGCCACGTCAGCAAGAGAAGGCTAAAGAAAAGAAAAAGAATCTAAGAAGAAGAAGAAGAAGAGAAAAACGTGAAGGATAGGGAAACAAATGCAAAAACTTTCAACGCTTTTCCACGCACAACCAAAAAAAAAAAATTGGTCTTTCTCAGGGTTTCTTTTGGAAGAGATGAAAATAAAAGAAGAAACTAAGTGGGAAATTGATTGCAGATAAATTCAAAACTGCTGTGGAACATTTGGAAGCACCATCAGCAGATTTTGATGGGAATAAAAGAGCTTCCATTTCAAGTGTTTTTATGTTGTTGCTAAGTATTCCTTGCTTCTTTTCTGTAAGTCTCTCTAACCTAGGATAAATTCAGAATTTTGTTGGCACATTATACTTTTTTTTTTTATGAATCAAAGCTTTTATTTTCAACCTATTTTACTGAGTATCCTCTTCTTCTAAGTGTGTGACAAATTTACAGAGAAAGGTATTGAAAAAACAATTGAAGATGAACATTTTCTGAAGGGAATCAAATATATCTGAATGTTTCTTTTTTTGAAATTTGTCTTCTATGTACCTGAAAAAATAATTATAAACATGAGAGGTTCAGGCCTTTGAAATCACAGGTGGTACCTTGCAATTCAATCTCCTACTATTTGACCATCCCATATTTTTCAATGGTGAAGTTTGCACAG